TATCATTTGGCAGGCGACCTCTAATCGATAGTAAAATAATTGCCTCGATTTTTTTCATTGATGAAGCCTTGATTAATAATTAAACGTTTATTTTTTATTTCATCTCGTTTACATATATTTAATTTTAAAATATACATGGTTTACCCTGACTTTATTTCAATAAAAAAGTTTTTCCGGGTAATTCACCTTGTTAATTTAAAATCAATAGTTATTAGAAACTACGTCAATGGTGCCTTTGCCCGGCCGATACGAAAGAGTTGACAGATGACGTCATATATAGATATTTTGACAGCGCGCAAGCAGTTAGATTCGCGCGCTTTTCTGCACAACGAAAATAACCAACAAAATACATTACATCCCTTGTTTAAACGTGATTTGAAACGTTAAACGATCTATTTGCTTTAACTGAGCATAATTGTGGTCGGTTAAAATCTGACACGTAAATGATTTCTCGTGGTCAAAGGCTTTTGTGAAACCTATATTAATAACATTGCGTTTTCTCAACTGAGCGATTACACAGTTAAGCAACCGTTACCTATTACGTTTAATAGTCTGCAAATCATACATAATAACTCAGAAGGCTAGCATGGAGTTACTATACAATATTATATAATAATTCGAATCTGATTGAATTCAATAATTGTAAATTAAGTAATACTAGCTGTTCCCGTGCGATTTCATCCGCATACAATTATTTTACTTGTAATTTATGGTCCCTTTCACACATGAAGGTTTCTTCAAATTTATTGATCCCCCAAGTTTAATAGCGTAAAAATATATTGCCTAAAGCGTGTCGTAAATGTAGGGCTTTTCATTAAAGAAAGAACTATTCAAAAATATGCTGTGATTGCTGACATCCTACGCCACAAAGTAGTGTGTGTTTACGCTTTGTTATAATAGTATAGAGTATAGACATAGATGAAGTATCAAGTAAGGAAGTTTTAGACCAGACGCACACCTTCGACTAAAATATCGTATAACGGTTGTGCGATTGTCGATTGTTTCGCGGCCAATTCAACTGCTCAGTTGCATAACTAAAATCGAGTAGTGTGCGCACCTCCATATAAGCTTACAGTAATGAAAACAAGACTAAACAGTAAGATAGTCTTTCACAAGAAAATCTTCATATAGCTATTCAAAGGAAAAGTGAAAATAAACATGAACGATAACGGTCTTATTTGTATGACCGTCTCGTTTTGATGTTTGGAAACGTAAAGCCCTTCACGTATGAATACGAATGTAAATTGCGTTCTATGTATTGAAGTCTACTAAAGTGAA